AAGGTTTAGCTAAGAAATGAGTGGCAAAGCTAAAAATATGCATGGCATACTAAAAACTACGACCCGGAACAAACAACAGCCACAAAAAAATGCGGTAAAGTGGCAAGCCATGGTAATCAACCAGACATACACCATGCTTTTTTTTTTCCTCGTAGTAAGTGACATACAAGCATATCTCTGCAATTTATTTGATATGGAGGCAAGCAAATTTTTTAGAACTTCCTCTGATTTATGTGGACAGCTAGAACAACTTGTTTAATTAATAAAAGATTCTCGTCCCATGCACAGCTGCAAACATCATATTTGCTTGGGCCCATCCGAACCTGCATCTATTTCTCAATAGTACTTTTTTCAAATCCAATTTATCTCGCTCTCCATATGCAAAACTTTTTTCCGCTCTACACTATCAATTCTACAAAACCAGTCTTTTCCTTTAGCAACTCTAGGACATGTCCTATACAATCCAGTCCTTTCCTTTAGCAACTCTAGGACATGTCCTATACCCCTCCATAAGGGTGTCATATACGTACGCAAGAAAAAAAAAAACCAGCATCGTCAATGGGCTAGATCACCATCATCATTTGGATAATATTAGTATTCTGATTTTAGTTTGTAGCATCAATGGTGACGCGCATTGCCGGTCTCACCGGTCGCCACGGATCGATATCAATTCTCAGTACCTCCCTGGCTCCTGGCTCCATATATATATACGTCCATGTGCAGTCGGGTCGAGCAAAACGATAGCAAACTCAGCACTTCAGCAGTGATCAGATAGGGAGTGACCATGCCGGGGCTCATGACGATCATGGCACTGGCAGCATCGCCGCCCATGTCGGTGAGGCGATGCTTCTGCAGCAGCAGCAAGAAGATGAGCGGTAGTACGGTGTCGCTGGTAAAGAAGCTTTCTTCTTCGCAAGCACATCTCCTCGGCCGCAGCTGGGCTCTGGCAGCGACGGCGGCCACCACGGCAGCAACTGCCTTTCATGTTGATGAGCAGGAAGAGATGATGATGCTGCGCCTGTCGGAGGAAGGGTGGGTGGACGAGCATATTCTGCCGCTGCTCACCCCCGTTGAGGAGGCCTGGCAGCCGGCCGACCTGCTGCCCTCCTTCGCCGTCTCGGCCGACGAGCAGCGGAGCCAGGTGGCGGAGCTCCAGGCCCGCGCGGCCGGCGTGCCCGACGACCTCCTCGTCTGCCTCGTGGGCAACATGGTCACGGAGGAGGGCCTGCCCGCCTACATGTCCATGGCCAACCGCGTGGCTGGCGGCAGCGACGCCACCGGCTGCGACGACCACGGCTGGGCGCGCTGGCTGCGCGGCTGGACCGCCGAGGAGAACCGCCACGGCGACCTGCTCAACCGCTACCTCTACCTGTGCGGCCGCGTGGACATGCGGCGGGTGGAGACGACGGTGCACCACCTCCTCGGCCGCGGCATGCGCGCCATGCTGCACCCCTCCAGCGCGTACCACAGCCTCATCTACGGCTCCTTCCAGGAGCGCGCCACCTTCGTCTCCCACGCCCGCACCGCCAGGAAGGCGGGCCTCCACGGAGACGCCTGCCTCGCCAAGCTCTGCGGCGTCATCGCGGCAGACGAGAGGCGCCACGAGGCCGCCTACACGAGGGCCGCCGCCAGGGCCTTCGAGGACGAACCGGACGGCATGGTGCGGGCGCTCGCCGCCGTGATGCGCGCCAAGGTCACCATGCCCGGCGAGCTCATGGACGACGGCCGCGACGAGCGCCTCTTCGATCACTTCTCGGCGGTTGCGCAGCGCTCAGGGGTGTACACGGCGGCGGACTACGCCGACATGGTGGAGCACTTCGTGCGCAGGTGGAAGGTGGCGGAGCTCGGCGGTGGCCTGTCCGGCGAGGGGCGGCGCGCGCAGGACTACGTGTGCGGGCTGCCCCGCAAGATACGCAGGATGGAGGAGCTGGCTCACGACCGTGCCGCCCAAATGGGGGCCCAGTCGGTTTGCTTCAGTTGGGTGTTCGATAGGCCCGTCCGCATCCACTGATCAGCTAGCCTGTTCCAAAGTGAGGTTGGAGGCCCATTTGTCACTGATCAACTGAACAAGGCCTCGACTACTTCAACCTATTTGTTTCTCAAAAAAAAAAAACCCTACTTCAACCTATTTTATTTCCCCTAAATAAAAAACTTCTCGCTGCTTCTAAACATTAGATTAGAGTAACAATGAACCATAATAAATATATCCTAGTACAAGTACGCCTGGCTGCATTTGTATTCTGTTTACCACTACTATATATCTGAAATGTTGTTTCTTATATAATTATTATATAATATGTGCATTGTTTATAATCCTAAATATTCCTTTGCTGAATGGAACTTACAAGGATTACTACTCTATACATATGAAATTGTTATCAACATCCGTTGATTCTGCGATTCATTAATTCAATATTAGTTAAAACATACCAATAGAATTTCAGTCACTGAACTCTGCCTTCACCCAATTTGAGCATAAAATTGTAAGGCCTTGTTTGGATGCGTATGTATTCATCTCAATTCACATGTGTCGAAGTGGATTGGAGTGAAATTGAACTAAGTTCCATTCTATTTCACTCCAACACATGTGAATTAAAGTAGATACACATACATCAAGGCATAATATGAAATGACCTAACGTGAAATGAAGCACACGCAAATTGACTGCAAAGGCAGGCCCGATCAACTTCGTTTTCTTTTGCTATTCTGTGTCCCGTGCTACTAGTGACTATAGCTCAGTAGTTGACAGTCCTGGAGCATGCTAATGAATTGGGGGGACAATAAGGCTAAGAGAGTAGTGTACCCAAAGCCATCAAATAGTGAAATTAACTAGTTAAAACAAATTTTGTAGGTTAGCTGGGACCATGTCCAACCTTGGCCATAAATAAGCTCCTGCTGCACATGTGCTGCCATGCATGGCATTTGATATCCATTTAGAGGGTGATAACACAGGAAAAATAACAAGGCAGACAGAACCACATTCTCAACCAAAGCACCATACACCTCCAGGATTACGCCTAGCAACCACATGTAAGATAGGATTGGGCACAAATAGCTCACATCCATGGTACTATGGTAGCTTATTTGTAAATCATGTATACGGTAGTAAGGCCGGGGCATGAAAAACAAACCCAAAAACTCAAACCCACTAACCTTCCATAATAATAGCTCATGTTCCCCAGTTCATGTACCATTTGACTTGCTGACACATCAGGCCATCAGCCATGCACAAGCACAAATGCCCAGACGGCCAGACAACAAAGAAGGCAGCCACTCCTCCTAGTGGCAAGACAAGATAAGCAAGATGAAATGGCGCCATGAGTAGAATTCCCTCATCAACCAGACACCATATAAACAGCTAAAACATGCGAGCACGTAAAACAAAAGTCCATGGTATCACTAGCCTTCATCCATAGCAGTGAGAGGGGCCCCAGTCAGGAAAGATGATAAATTTAAATCAGAAAGCAAAGCACCAACCAACAGGAACCGAAAGGGGCAAAACCTTGAAAAATTGAGATGAAATTGTGCCACCCTGAATGCATAAATAAATGCAGCACTATATGAAGACTAGAAATAGGAAATTTTTCATTATTTCCAATTGAAACTGAGATGTTCTCACCTGAAAAAAAATAGAGAGAAAAGAAACAATGATCTTTGATTTTTCTACCCACTTTCATACTTACAGTACAAGGTAAAATTGAATGATGGAAACATATTCAATCTCCCATGCACTACGATTTATTTCAGGTAGAAATCTCATTTCTTGCTTAGGTCCATAGTGAAGGGATTAGCATTTATAAATCATGAAAATTATTGATAAAAAAGAATTGTGTTACTAAGTTACTTCTCTATTTCACAATCCATAGAAGTCACAACAAACAACTAAATTCATCACTAGCAGCATTGCACTTTGCCACTTTGTATATTTTTTTTGAAATGATCAGCAGCACTTTGTATATCAATAGGCAACTTCCTGAGTATTACCATATCGAAAAATGGAAACAAGACTAAGTCATGTAAATAAGCACAGACCTCCCCACTTAGATGCAATCTGATACCTCAAGGTAACAAATAAACAAGGAAGATGACTGACAACATATAACAACATCGATTATTAATTGTTAAATATGATATAAAGCAGCTTCAATTCATAGGGATAATATGTCAAATACAAGATGCAAGTGGTATCAGGACATGAAAGCAAGCACATACAGGATAACATGCATTTTAACTTTGCTTGTAGTAATTTTGAAGAAAGAAATTAAAAATGCAACCATGTTTTTTCATATATTATCTATATAAGAGCTACCACCAAAAGGATAGTGCCCAGATAGTCTGATATTACTATCCAAAGGGCTCTGACTCGACTGTTGACTGACAACTATAGTAGCTTGATGTAGGCCCCATGAAAAAAAGCATTGACAACAGAATTCTGTATCCAAGTTTGCTTCTCTAGTTCACACTCCATGGCAATCATAACAGATAATTAAATCCATCACTATCAGCATGCACTCTGTTTATCAATCAGCATACTTCCTGAAAGTTACCATATCAAAAAATATATGTTGGCAACAAGACTAGAGGTCATGTAAGTAAGCGCAGACCTCTTCACTTTGTTTCAATCTGATACCTCAAAAGTAAAATATCAACAAGGAAGATAACCGATAACTTATAACATATTCATTTTTTTTTCTGGTCCACAACTTAACTCATCTTCCTTTGGGTTGCGGAAGATAATATGAAGCTGCAGAGCTGTTCTGATTCATCATCATAACGATAATGTCAAATACATCATGCAAGTGGTGCCAGAACAGCAAAGCAAGAGCATACTGGAACACCATGCATTTTAAATATTTTGCTAGGAGTAATATTCAAGAAAGATATTAAGGAGACAATGTTGGCTTCTTATCATTTTCTCAGTAAGAACTACAACCAAAATGGTAATGTCCTGATACTCTGGTATTACGATCCATAGGGCTCTGACTCGACTAGTGACTGAACTATGACTCAATAAAGGCCTCATGATATGGCTGAGTTGCTGCATTGTCAGACGTAGTCAACATTATCTTGCCATTGACCAAAGCTTCTTTGAGAAGCGAAAGGTCCGCTTCTGGTGCACCGGGCAAATCCACTGGAGTGACATTGCGAGAAACTATTAACAGTTTCTGCAGAGAGCTAGCTTTCCTCAACAGAAAACTCACTAGCTGCACCTCGGTGGGGATCCAGTTGAAGTTCATGACCTTTACCATGACGAGGTTGTTTAAGCCATCTTCCGGTGGCTCTTCCAGCACCTGATCAATACAACCTTCCATGGGCTTACATCTATATGCCGGGAGCTACACAGAAGAACCATAGTCAAAAACGCGGATGACTATGAAGAAAAAGAAATTACAAAGGCATTGACTGTGTTAACCTGCACAAAGAGCCTCTCCAGATTAGGACATTGGAAGATCTTGAGGAACAGATACAAGTTGGAAAGGTTGACAGCTTTCATTTCAAACATGAGTAGGTGTAGCTCTTTCAAACTGTGTAAGTTGAAATTGGGCAACTGGGCACTGGCTCCATCGGCTGACAAGACAGATGCACCCTGAAATAAAAGGTATGGTTAGGATAAAAAAACCAAGATTTTTGTTTCATATCTATCAAGCAACTAAACGTTACTCCTAAGTGACAAGAAGACCAGAAATAATAAACAAGATTAAATACGGAGAAAGTACCATGAGGGCTTTGTAACAGATGGTGAGAACGTTGAGGCTGGATAAATCCTTCGGGAGAGATTTCCTCAAGTTATCCATATTCCATTCTTTCATCGGTTCTGAGTCAAATAACTGAATATAAAGATCAGAAAGCGTGGCATCGCGTGGAATGGATAAAGGCAAGTTGGAGAAGCGGCCCTCGTAGTGGAAGGAGCGCAGGCTAGGAACACGCACGAAGTCCAGACTGGTGATCCTTTCACAGCCAGCGATTGCAAGACTCCTCAGGTTCGGTGGTAGCCTGTCGAACTCCCAACCGTAACCGTTACAGCGGCAGCTGCGCAGATCGAGAGTGAGGAGGTTGGGGCACAGCGCCATCATTTTTTTGAAAGCCTTCGGGCGAAAGGAGACCGATTCGAGCCGGATGACCTCTAGAGCGTGGAATGACCGGGCGCCCTTGTGGAACATGCTGGAGACGCTGATGTGGCAGAGCGAGAGGCACGCAAGGGCCAGGCTCAATAGCGGCAGGTGGAAGTTGAGCTCGCCCGCGACCAGGCTCTTGCGCGTCGTCTCCACGTGGAGGTCCTCGACGCCGCACTCGGCGGCGTAGTCGAGAAAGCGCCGGAACTCCGAAGCCTTGAGAGTGGAGATTCCAACGTTGAGGGAGAAGCGGTCGAGTCGGCGGCGCGGCTGCGGCTCGCGCGCCAGCGCGTCCAGCTCTCGCCGCAGGTCGTCGCGGGAGCGGAGGTGCACCTCGAGGGAGGCGCGATGCGCCCACCGGCCCCTCCACAGGTCGCGCCACCCGCGAGCGAGCGCCCCCGTGCGGATGGCGTCTTTGAGAGGGAGGTGCGTCAGGACGCGCAGCCGCAGCTCGTCCGGCAGCGCCGAGATGCGGTCCAACGGGATCGCATCCGAACCCTCCGCCTCGCACTGGTCATCCAGCCCATCCACCTTTTGCCTCTTCGATCCGCCGCTGCCGCCGCCGCCCGAGTTGATGGCCATTTCCCGCTCGTCCCCAATTTGGGGAATAACCCACCCTCCCTCTCCTCTCCCTCTCCCCGTCCAATCACCTACCCATTTGAGATGAAACCAACGCGCCGCCGCTGGGCGTTGCTTGCGAACTGCGAGGTTAAAGAAAAGGAGTTGGGCCATAAAGGGCTGAAACGTGGACGCTCAAGCAGACCGTGCTGCCACAGTTTTGGGCTCTTGGCCCATGCGTAAGCCATGTACTTATACAGGCAAACTTTTATTTTATTTTACTCTCCGTTTAAGAAAACTACTTTTGTTTCCTATAATAAGAGGAAAAAATTGCTTCCAATAACCAGGCAGCCTGCAGCCTTGCTACCCAGTAGCCCATCTCGGAAAAAGGTTTTGCAAAAACAAGAAGTAGCTCTACACCCAAATGAACAAAACTTTCGAATCAAACTTGGACAGTGCTGGAGCCTGTAATGAATTGGGAGGGGCCCAATAAGACTAAGAGAGTAGTGTACCCAAAGTCATCAAATAGTGAAATTACCTACAGCTGCACATGTGCTTAATCAAGTTTTGTAGGTTAGCTGGGACCATGGCCCAACCTTGGCTATAAATAAAGCTCCTGCTGCACATGTGCTGCAATGGCATCTGAATATCTGATGACTGATATCCATTTGGAGGACGATAATACAGGTTAAACCCCACAATTTCAATTATATTGAAAAGAACAAGGCAGATAGAGAACCAGATACTCAACCAAAGCACCGTACACCTCCAGTCACCAGGATTACGCCTAGCAACCACATGTTAGATAGGATTGACCACAGATAGCTCACATCCCCAGATCATGTAGTCATGTACCATTGACTTTGCTGACGCACCAGGTCATCAGCCATGCACAATGTCCAGACAACAAAGAAGGCAGACACTCCCGGTAGTGGCAAGACACCATATAGGCAGCTAAACCATATAAGCAAGATGATGAAATGGCTTCATGAGTAGAATTCCCTCAGGAACCAGACACCATATAGGCAGCTAAAACATGCAAACACAAAACAGAAGTAAAGGGCATGATTGACACACAGACACTAAGTTAATTAACTTGTGATAACATTCCATGGTACCACTAGCCTTCATCCATAGCAGTGAGAGGCAGTCAGGAAAGATGATAAATTTAAATCAGAAAGCAAAGCCTTGAAAAAATGAAATAAATTATACCACCCTGAATGCGTAAACAAATGCAGCACTATATGAAGCCTCGAAATAGGAAAATTTTCAATCTTTCCTGTTGAAACTGAGATGTTCTCACTCAAAAATAAAGAGAAAAGAAACGATTATCTTTGGTTTTTCTGCCCTCTTTCATAGTTACAAGATGATAATATTAAATTCAACACTAGCAGTGGCAGCATTGCACTTCACCACTTTGTAATCAATAGGGCAACTTTCTCAATATTACCATATCAAAAAATGCCAAAAAGATTACAAGTCATGTAAATAAGAACAAACCTCCCTGCTTTGATGCAATCTGATACCTCAAGGTAACAAATGAACAAGGAAGAAGACCGACAACATATAACATCATCAATAATTCTGATCCACAACTTCATCCATCTTTGTTTGAATTGTTAAATATGATATAAAGCTGCTTCAATTCATAGGGATAATATGTCAAATACAAGATGCAAGTGGTATCAGGACACATACAGGATACCATACATTTTAATTTTGCTAGTAGTAATATTGAAGAAAGAAATTAACAAGAAAACATTGGTTTTTCATATATTATCTATAAGAGCAACCACCCAAAAGGATGGTGCCCAGATAGTCTGATATTTCTATCCAAAGGGCTCTGACTTGATTGATCACTGACAATTAGAGCTTGGTAAAGACCTCAGAATGATACGGTTCAGTTGCACCATCATCAAACTCCCTAAACACTATCTTGCCACTGGCCAAAGGTTCTATGAGAAGCAAAACGTCCGCTTCTGGTACACCGGGCAAATCCAGTGGAGTGACATTGGGTGAAATTATTAACAATTTCTGCAGGGACCTAGCTTTCCTCAATAGAAAACTGACTAGCTCTCAGTGCAGCAGCAACTGAACTTCGTGACCTTTACCATCACAAGGTTGTCTAAGTCATCCTCCGTTATGCAGGTCATTTTCAGGGGAGCGTACTGGTTACGCTTCTGGGCCCAGCTGCAGCGTGTAGAGCAAGCTAAGGACGCGCTCTCGACAATAAGCAAGAAATTAGAAGTTATTGCTCTAGAGATATCCAATAACGGATGGAAACAATTTTATTGTTTAAGTTAGCGTCTTGGTCATGTTATAAGACCTTGGCTTTCTTTTTGGTTTTATCATTATCTGTAATTGTGGGCTGTGTACATCTACGGATGTAGAGGCCGGATGTTTATCCATTATCTAAAAAAAAAGTCATCCTCCGGTGGCTCCTCCCTCACCTCATCAATTGAACCTTTCATGGCCAAATATTTAAATGTCAGTGATCAATCAGGAAGGTGGATAAAACAACAACAACAACAACAAAGCCTTTAAGTCCCAAATAAGTTGAGGTAGGTTAGAGTTGAACCCAGCAAAAGCAATCAAGGTTCAGGCACGTGAATAGCTGTTTTCCAAGCACTCCTATCTAAGGCTAAGTCTTTGGGTATATTCCATCATTTCAAGTCTCCTTTTATTGCCTCTACCCAAGTCAACTTCGGTCTTCCTTTGCCTCTCTTCACGTTACTATCCTGCCTTAGGATCCACTACGTACCGGTGCCTCTGGAGGTCTCCGTTAGACATGTTCAAACCATCTCAACCGGTGTTGGACAAGCTTTTCTTCAATTGGTGCTACCCCTAATCTATCACGTATATCATCGTTCCGAACTCGATCCCTTCTTGTATGATCGCAAATCCAACGCAACATACGCATTTCCGCGACACTTATCTGTTGAACGTGTCGTCTTTTCGTAGGCCAACATTCTGCACCATACAACATAGCAGGTCTAATCGCCGTCCTATAAAACTTGCCTTTTAGCCTCTGTGGTACCCTTTTGTCACATAGGACACCAGATATTTGGCGCCACTTCATCCACCCTGCTTTGATTCTATGGCTAACATCTTCATCAATATTCCCGTCTCTCTGTAGCATTGATCCTAAATATCGAAATGTATCCTTTCTAGGCACTACTTGACCTTCCAAACTAATATCTTTCTCCTCCCGAGTAGTAGTGCCAAAGTCACATCTCATATACTCAGTTTTAGTTCTACTGAGTCTAAAATCTTTGGACTCCAAAGTCTCCCGCCATAACTCTAATTTCTGATTCACTCATGTCCGGCTTTCATCAACCAGCACTACATCGTCCGCGAAAAGCATACAACAAGGGATGTCCCCTTGTATGTCCCTTGGACCTCATCCATCACTAAGGCAAACAGATAAAGGCTCAAAGCTGACCCTTGATGTAGTCCTATCCTAATCGGGAAGTCATCCATGTCTCTATCACTTGTTTGAACACTAATCACAACATTGTTGTACATGTCCTTAATGAGCCCGACGTACTTCGTTGGGACTTTATATTTGTCCAAAGCCCACCACATAGCATTCCTTAGTATTTTATCATAAGACCAAGGTGGATAAAATAAGATCACGCAAAATATAATAAATAAAACTCATACATGAAGAGACTCCACAGCAACAATTTTTGAACGTGAGGCTACATAAAATTAATCAGATGAAAATAAATGAACGAGTTCCCCAATAACAATGATTTTTCAGAGGAAGATTACAGATGAATTTAACAGACTAAGTAACACCAAATAGAAAAGATGGTATTAACATCAATGATAGTATGCATAAACTTCTGAACTCTGATTCAAGAAATTCACCACTCGGTAATGCAGAAACAAAAGGACTTACAGATACTAGTTAAATATTATCCTATCAACTTATTTGAAAATAAAAGTTGTTGATTTAACAATAATATCAAAACTTGTGTTCAAGACTGAGCCAGTTTTCATTTTATTTTTCAACAATGTATGAAGTACAGAATTTTAGTCCCTGAGTTATCTTAAGCATTGGGGTATCAATCAACCATAAAAAATATCCTAATATAATTGACTAATTGAGGCTGGTTGCATTGTATTATGTTTACCACTACTATATATCCGAAATATTTTTCTTATAATAATATATGTGCATTGTTCATAATCCTAAATGCACCTTTACTGAATGGAACCAGAGAATTACTGCTCCATATTAAAGATTGTTGTCAGCATCCATTGATTCTGCGATTCATGGATTCAGTATTTGTTCAAACATACCGATAAAATTTTATTAAGTACGTACAATAGGTCATTGAACTTTGCATGCAGTACCAGCTTGACTTGAGCAGAAAATAACTGTAACTTGAACTGATACTCATGTAGACAAGCAAAGCACGCGCAATTTGACTGCAAAGACAAGCTCGACTTCTGGTTCTTTTATAGTACCATCACTTGCTGAAGCATCAGGGCATCAGCCATGCCCCGAAACATAAAGGTGCCGCTCCTGGTAGCAGCAACACAATGAAGAAATGTCTTCATCGTGAGTAGAAATATTACATCAAGCTGCCATATAGGCGGCTAAAACATGCGAACAACAAAAACCAAGAGCATGACACAGCTCTGGATGCAGAAGAGTAACCCTATGCTATCATTCCATTATGGATAGCAACTAGCAAAGATGATGAATTTGAATCAGCAAGCTAAGTACCAAACTCATAGGAACAGAAGGGTGGAACTTAATGACACATGCTGTGCCACCTCAATGCACAAAAAAAATGCAGTACTAAATCAAGAGGCGATATAGGAAAGTTTATTTTTTCCGACTGAAACTCTGTGCTCTATGCACTAAAAAAAGAAACAATGATATCAGATTCCCTGCCCACTTTCATACTCAAGAGGCACAAAGCTCGATTATAATTATAAAGTATGCTAGGTGCGATAGCTATAATGTTCATAAGTGTTTTGATAATTATTAAAAGCCTTGACAAGAAAAAAAAAGAACGCAGAAAAGTAAACATTGCAGAGTACCTATAAATATAAGAAAGATATATGGCTAAGCTGCCCCCCCACCCCAAACACACCCACCCACCCACCCACCTGTGACCCCCACCGCACCACACACACCACAAAAAATGTTACTTAAAGTAGACAACAAGCTCCAAAGAGTATTTTTTGTATCACAATTCATCTATTATCTATTTAATGACATAAAGTTATCCAATCTCCCATGTGCTACATCATATTTGAGGTAGAAATCCCTTTTTCCCTTCGGTCCATATCAAAGGGAGATCGAGAACCATTACTCAATTAGCAACCATATTTTGCAACCAATTTTGCTTCTCTAGTTCGCAACCCCACCCCATGGCAATCACAACAGACACTCTGTTTATTAGTCAGGCTACTTCCTGAAAGTTACCATATCAAAAAAGATATGTTGACAACAAGACTACAGGCCATGAAAGTAAGCACAGACCTCTTCACTTTGATTCCATCCGATACCTCAAGGTAAAATATCAACAAGGAAGACAACCGATAAGATATAACATTATCATTATTTCTGGTCCACATTTGAATTGTGGAAGATATGCAAACTGCTCTAATTCATTATCATAAAATAAGGATAATATGTCAAATACATCATGCAAGTGGTGCCAGGACAGCAAAGCAAGAACACACTGGAATACCATGCATTTAAGTAATATTCAAAAAAGAAATTAAGGAGACATCATTGGTTTCTTCATGACCTTCAAAAAAAAGCATTGGTTTCTTCATATCTTATCATTTTATCAATAATAACTACAGCCAAAAGGATAATGCCCTGATAGGCTGATATTACTATCCATAGGGCTCTGCCTCAACTGGTGACTGATAACTATAGTACCTTTCTGAAGGCCTCATGATATGGTTGAGTTGCTGCATAGTCAGACTTGGTCAACATTATCTTGCCATTGACCAAAGCTTCTTTGAGAAGCAAAAGGTCTGCTTCTGGTGCACTGGGCAAATCCACTGGAGTGACACTGCGAGAAACTATTAACAGTTTCTGCAGAGAGCTAGCTTTCCTCAATAGAAAACTCACTAGCTGCACCTCGGTGGGGCACCAGTTGAAGTTCGTGACCTTTACCATGACAAGGTTGTCTAAGCCATCTTCTGGTGGCTCTTCCCACAGCTGATCAATACAACCTTCCATGGGATTACATCTATATGCCGAGAGGCCTGAGAGCTACAAAGAAGAACCATAGTGAAAAGACAGGATGACAATGAAGAAAAGAAATTACAAAGGCATTGATTATGTTAACCTGCACAAAGAGCCTCTCCAGATTAGGACATTGGAAGGTCTTGAGGAACAGATACAGGTTGGCTAGGTTGACAGCTTTCATTTCAAACATGATTAGGTGTAGCTCTTTCAAACTGTGTAAGTTGAAATTGGGCAACTGGGCACTGGCTCCATTGGCTGGCATTGGCAAGACAGATGCACCCTAAAATAAAAGGCATGGTTAGGTTAAAAAACCATGATTTTTTCTTTCATATTTATGGAAATCAAGCAACTAAAAGTTACTCCTCAGTTACAAGAAGACCAGAAATAATAAACAAGATTGAATATGGAGAAAGTACCGTGAGGACTCTGCAAAAGATGGTGAGAACGTTGAGGCTGGATAAATCCGTCGGGAGAGATTTCCTCAAGTTATCCATATTCCATTCTTTCATCGGTTCTGAGTCAAATAACTGAATATAAAGATCAGAAAGCGTGGCATCGCGTGGAATGGATAAAGGCAAGTTGGAGAAGCGGCCCTCGTAGTGGAAGGAGCGCAGGCTAGGAACACGCACGAAGTCCAGACTGGTGATCCTATCACAGCCAGCGATTGCAAGACTCCTCAGGTTCGGTGGTAGCCTGTCGAACTCCCAACCGTACCGTTACAGCAGCAGCTGCGCAGATAGAGAGTGAGGAGGTTGGGGCACAGCGCAGGCCGCGGACACTGGCCGTCGGGGACAAATACTACGGTATCACAGGAAGATGAGTTGGATACCCATCAACGCTAATTTATCAGAGCGATCAATAACGCGACTACGTTTCCTAGTGGGCTTTGCCTCGTCCAAACCACCAAGGCCGCAAGCTCCGTTTCGTCCGATCGTCCGACCCCTGAGGGTTAGGAACGCCTCAGGCTGACTCCCGAGGGATGGTTCTGCCTCGCCCGACGTCTGAGGGCTGGCTCCGTCTCGTCCAACCCCGAGGGTTGGCTCCACCTCGCCGACGTCTGAGGACTGACTCCGCCTCGTCCACCCCCCGAGGGTTGGCTCCGTCTCGCCCGATGTCTGAAGGACGGCTCCGCCTCGCCCGACGTCTCAAGGATGGCTCCGCCTCGCCCGACCCCCGAGGGTTGACTCCGCCTCGCCCGACGTCTGAAGGATGGCTCCGCCTCGCCCGACGTCTGAAGGATGACTCCGCCTCGCCCGACCTCCGAGGACTGGCTCCGCCTCGCCGACCCCCCGAGGTTTGGCTCTGCCTCGCCCGACGTCTGAGGGTTGTCTCCGCCTCGCCCGACCCCCGAGGGCTGGCTCCGCCTCGCCCGACCCCCGAGGGGTGGCTCCGCCTCGCTTGGCTCCCAAGGGGGGCTCCATCTCACCCGACGTCTGCGCGCGACTCCTTCCTAATGACGCGCACAGATAAGGCAGAGCATTCAAGTCAACCGCAATACCGAGGACCATATCATGCACGCACTGCAGGAAAGTACTGTCAGGATATGACAAGAAAGGCGCTTTGAGACCTTCTAGGCATGTCAGAGCCCAAACAGTGTTGTAGGCGTCGACATTTGTCTTACAGTGTTGTGGGCGCCGCCATTTGCCCTCGGGCGTGGATCCTGACGGAAGCTCACGACAACCACTACAGTTCAGGAGGAAACTCGCATCACCTACAGTAATGGACGTGCGGTCACTGCACCGTCTGCTCCCTGTATGGCCGTGGATCAGCACCCCGGTCCGTCGCGCCGCCCGCCGGGACAGGATGGGACGTGACAACTTGCTGACAAATGCCAGGATATGACATCATCAGCGGACAGACGCCCAACGCGGCCCAATCAGGATCAGCGGACATGCACCTAGTGTGGAGCTATCCCTGGCACCGCCTATCATATCAGCGGGGCCCACACAGAGGAAAAGGAAGACCCGACATCTTTGAAGGACCTCCTTTGCCTCTGGTTTTTTTTCTTTCTCCCATCTGTAATCCCTGCTCTCCCTTGGCCTATAAAAGGGAAAGCAGGGCATCCCACTAAGGGGATCAATTCAAGACATCACGCATTACATCACACATAGCTGAGCAGCAACCAAGCTCTCAGCATCCATTCAACCTTTTCCATCAGAGACTTGGAACATGTCCCTCTCTCGCCCGTTTATAACCCCTACTATGAACTTTTTCAGTGCTAATAACACGAGCAGCAGCCACAAACTAGACGTAGGGACATTCTGCCCGAACCAGTATAAATCTTGTGTCTTTTTTAGCACACCATCTGGGCTAGACGCGCAATAAATAAATTTACTCGTTGGTGTTTACTCGAAACATCAACAGTTGGCGCGCCAGGTAGGGAACTTTGCGCTTCCCGACATTAACATCAGGCCACAGATGGCTAGTCACGGCATCAGCTAGGTCTCAGGCACACACATGCGCTTTAGGGACCTAGACTTCATCATCACGGTGGGAGGAGAGTTGGCATTGGCTCACGCCACCGTCCAACCTCTCCCCTCCATTGGCCTTGACTACGGGAGGCTTGAGCATCAGCTCGGCGTATCCCTAGGACCTCAACCGTCCAGGGAGGACCCACGTTGCCTCACCTTCTCTTACGCCAATGACATGGCATGGCTCATCAGAGGGGAAACCCTCTCTCCGGAACACCTCATACGGTACGCCCTGACAGTGCTTCCGTTCGGTCTTCGCAACGCCATGGCGACCATTAGCCGCCTTGTGGCACAACGCATGATTCCACCTCCCACGAACGACGAATTCATAGGGGTGATCGAACACATCACGGAATCTTTCCACGACCTCTTGGCAGAGGTGCCAGAGTTGCCCTCTGGCTATGACTCCAGCAGGAGAAGCCATCACCCCTCTCGTGAATGCTTCATTACGGGTACCCCCGAGGGACATGTCGAAAGCATCCACAAGGAGGAGGCTACCTCGGCGAACAACCTCGACGACGAGGCCGAGGGGGAGACTGCGGGCCCACCTCGCATGTAGGTGGAGCAGCTAAAAGCCCAACACCGAGAGATCGATGACACGTGGCTCCAGCTTGAGCAGGAATGCGTGGAGCTCGATCGGGAAATCGAGTGCCATGGAGACGGCGGGCGCGCACGCGCCATGGCCACGACGTGAACCGAAGGATCATCGCCGACGATGAAGCCCTCCCTCGCTTCGCCCGAGCGAGCCAGAACATCGCCGCTACGGGTGCCTTGTTCCATGGTCTTCCAGAAGCCACGACGCCCGAGGATCGTTGGGCCTACCACGAGATTCGCACGCTACTTGAGCGTGCGGCGGTGCAACATGCTAAAAGCTCGTTGTCTCGGCGACGCAAGCTCGATGCCAGCCAGCGCACGCCCTCGGAGCGCCTTGGTAGGGACGCGTCGGTCCACTAGGAGCCACAAGGAAGTAGGCGGCACACCGTGGTCTCGGTGCGTCAGTGTCTCGGCCACAACCGTGACGCACGCAACACCCTCAACGCCCGTAGACATGCCTACGATGACCCAAGAGAGGGAGCCAACCACGGCTACCACCCTCGCTGTGGCGGACGCTACGACAGCGGTGAGGACCGAAGCTCGAGGTCTGGCCTGCTGGGGCCTCAGGCCTACAGTCGCCACATCCTCAAAACTGCCATCCCACTAAGGTACCGACCACCAACCAACATCCCGAAGTACTCTGGGGAGACAAACCCTGGACTATGGCTTGAGGATTATCGGCTTGCCTGCCAAGCCGGTGATGCGGATAATGACGATTTTATTATCCGCAACCTTCCATTGTTCTTGGCTGATTCAGCACGAACATGGTTGGAACACCTGCCGTCCAATAGAATCTAGAGTTGGGCGGACCTGAAAGAGATCTTCGTGGGGAACTTCTAAGGCACATACAAATGCCCTGGGAACCCATGGGACCTCAAGAACTACCGACAGAAGGCTGGTGAGACCCTCTGTGGGTACATCCAGCGTTTCTCCGAGCAGTGCAACGAGCTACCTAATGTCGTCGATGCCGACGTTATAGGAGCTTTCCTATCTAGGACCACCTGTGAGTCCCTGGTTCACAAGCTAGGATGCAAGGGCCCATGAACCACTAAGGAACTCCTTGACATTGCCACCAGCCACGCCTCGGGCGAAGAAGCGGTCGAAGCGATCTCGATCGCCTCAATGGTAAGGCAAGGTGGGACAAGGACACTGGCGAAGGTGCCTCCAACTGTCCTGCCAAAAAGAAGAACAAGAAACAATGGCGCGAGGGCTCTCTCGTGGCCGCCGCTGACCGCAGGGGTGGTCGGAAGCCCACGGAGGGCACTCCGAACCACTTTGAAAAACTACTTGAGGGGCCATGTCCAAACCATGCCTTTCCCATCAAGCATCTATACAAGGACTACGCCCTCATGAAGCGGTTCTTGTCCAGAGGCTCCAACAAAGGGGAGCACGGGAAGGACCCCGACCCTACCGTGGATGATGCCGAGGGGAAGGACGATGGCTTTCCAACACCGGATAGCTGCCTCATGATCTTTGGAGGATCGGAGGCCTACGACTCCAAGCGCCGCCAGAAAGATCATACGTCACGAGGTCTATGCGACCGAACTGGCCACACCTGCCTTCCTCCGGTGGTCAGAGTCCGCCATAACCTTCGACTGGACCAACCACCCGGAGAGCATCCCGCAACCAGGGAGATATCCACTCGTGGTCGACCCGATTGTCGCTACGAAGCGGCTCACCAAGGTACTGATGGATGGGGGCAGCGGCCTCAACATCCTATACGCCGAGGTGCTCGACGCCATGGGCATCGACCGTGCGTGCGTCCGACCGACCGGAGTGCCCTTCCACGGTGTCGTGCCTAGAAAGCAGGCCTTGCCTCTTAGGTAGCTCGATCTGCCCATCACCTTTGGGGGTTTGTCCAACTATAGTACGGAGACCCTCACCTTTAAAGTGGTTGGGTTCCACGGAACCTACCACGCCATCCTAGGACGACCATGCTACGCGAAGTTTATGGCCGTCCCCAACTACACCTACCTCAAAATGAAGATGCCGGGCCCAAGTGGGGTCATCACCGTCGGCACCTCCTTTCAGCGCGCCTATGAGTGCGAAGTTGAGTGCTGCGATCACGCCGCAGCAACCGTCGCCTCCGTAGAGCTCACGGCTCTCAGGAAGGAGGTCACCAAAGAAGCACCTAACCCCAAGCGGTCGACCGGGTCCTTCGAGCCAGTGGAGGGATCCAAGGAGGTCCTCGTAGACCCCGGGAGCACCGAGGGCAAAACGGTGCGCATTGGTTCCACGCTTTCCTCCGAATAGGAAAGCACACTCATTGGCTTCCTCCGTGCCAACAGAGACATCTTTGCGTGGGAACCCTCAAATATGCTAGGCATTCCAAGGGAAGTCACCGAGCATGCCTTGAAGATCCGCCCAGGCTCCAAGCCGGTGAAACAACTCCTGCGTCGCTTCAACGTGGGGAAACACAGGACCATCGGTGAGGAGATCGCAAAGCTTTTGGCGGCCGAATT